GGTCAAGTGGTGCAGGCAAGTGGTCAAGTGGTGCAGGCAAGTGGTCAAGTGGTGAAGGCAAGCGGTCAAGTGGTGCAGGCAAGTGGGCAAGTGGTGTGACTAAAGCAAGCCCATGTTGGAGAGAGTCTAGAAAGTACCAGTCCGCTCCAGCAAGTACCACGGGGGGAACTGTGTGCACCATGGGCCAGGGACACAAGGCAGACCAATGGAGCACAGAAGTATAAATCAAGAGGCTGCGTCCATTCATGATGGATTCCTGCGGATGCCAGGCGGAAGCGCTGCCTTAGCAGCTTGTGCGAGGCGGTCTGCAGTGCGCCCGAAGACGAAGTGGGCAGAGAAGTGTAGTGTAGCAATAGGGTAGAGGCAGCTAGCGCTGCCATAGCTGTAGCATAGTATGTGTGTGTTGTGTATAATACTGAGTGTTGCGTGTGGGACATCCAGGGTGATCCAGAGTGCGAACAGTGAGTTGTGTGGGCGCCCAGTCGCCATAGCCAGTTGAAGAGAACTCATATCTGGTTACGATATCTTGAGTACTGTGTGGGCGCATGNCAGTCGCCATAGCCAGTTGAAGAGAACTCATATCTGGTTACGATATCTTGAGTACTGTGTGGGCGCATGTCGCCAGTTGCTGTACCGCTGTTTGCAGGCATGACAAAGTGGTAAGAAGACGAGTTTGATTTCAGGCACAAAAGGTGGGGGTTGAAAGAGACCTTCATTGATGGCCGGCAGTAGATTCAGCCCGAGAACGCAGGCGGATTCCGCTGAAATTTTTCGAAACCGAGGTTGTTTCTGGTCTGGCTCCGTGGGTTAAATTCAGGACCAGCCACCGAAGGTAACTTCCAGACAAAGTACACAGCTCTCTCTTGTCCACAACTATCCAGGCGGTGAACGGTAGGTCCGGGCCTTGTCTTCATGTCCTGGCGGTGAACGGTAGGTCCGAAAGCTACCCCGGGGCAAGGTCCCACTTGCGCAAATTAGGAGATTTCGGCCGTTGATCTTTGCTATCTACGGTCAGTATCTCTTAATTCGTGCAAGTGGGACCTATGATAATATGCCAACTGCCGGAGTTCAGCGAAATCTTCTTTGTTTTTTCAAGGAAATCGGCAAAGCAGTCGTATTCACTTCTTCTCGACTAGAAACACTTCAATTCCGCTATGGAGGGACACATACCTTCAACATCAACTATCATTCCGTTAGAAAGAACGCACATGGAGGACACAACAACAGCAAAGTCCCGAGCTTCAGCTGACTTAAGCAGCGCCAGCAGCACTGGAGTGCATATGAACGTTTTCCCGAACCACCTTGAGAACTGTCAAATGCCTAAACCCTGAGTTCAAAGCTGCATAGCACTAGAAAAGATTCATTACCAAGTGACCTACCCATGAACTGTTGAAATACAGACCCAAGCTCGTATTTATACGCAGTTAGATTAAAAGATTTGACGACAACAAAAAGTTCGTGTACAGGGAGATATCGACCCCTATAGAATCAATAATACCACAGTACACTCACGCTACTTTCTTCCCCCACGAACAACGTCTTCAGTATAGCGTTTTCAACCCAGATACAGATGAACGACCGGGAGTCTCCTTACAACCATTCTCAGTTGGGTAAACAATTAGTGTCGCTAAGGACATCATGCGGTAGCAGATCGGCACATGATTAGACTCCGATCCATCCATCCACAATTTCCTATGGCTGTCCTACAACCAGCACGTCAAGATGATGGCTGGTGGTTTGGCCAGTAAGACCGCGCTTCACAAATCCACAACCACATGCTTATTTGAAATTTACCATTTCACGCTCACAAGCTGATTTCAGAGATAACAGTCTCCTTGCTGTCGTTGGAAAACCCGACAAACCAGGCGAAGAGTAAAGGAAGACATTAAAAAAAACACAGAAAAAAAAAAAGAGAAAGGATATGGGTTGCGTGCGTGTATTTAACTGCGCGACACAAGACATAAAAAAAAAGAGAAGATATGGTTGTGTGCGTGTGACACTGCGCGACACACAGGACAGAACACGCTGCTAACTGCACATACCTGAGCCAGACGAGACAAGGACGGTGCTACAAACAATAAAAGGTGCGAACGGTGCGACACACAGGACGGCAGGACATACAACACGATTCGACACGTTTGCTTCCGCATTAAACAAATGAATCCAAAAACACTTCACCAAAACACAACCTCCAGCGTGATTACTTCCGTATCGTGAAACAGTGCTAAAAAAAACATCATCATATCAGCAGAGTCACCGTTCTACCAAACAAACTAAAGGCGGACAGGCGAAAAAAGCTTCACCGCACAGTGGAGGCACATCATAAAAGACTGGCTACAGGCACATCACAAAAGACTGGCTGCTGCGGCACTGTTCACTCCCCAAATTCTTCGAAGAATCCAACCGTTCCTGCCAATCGCATCTCTCACGCATGAAAGTACCTCCCGCGTCCACATTCCGAAACATACTAGAAACATACTAGAAACAAAAATCAGAAAAAAGAGACGTTCGGCACCTGCACACTCGCCCAAACTCGTCTCTCCCTAGCACCACCACTCTTATGCAGTACCGATCCTCTCTCTCTCTCTCTCTCTCTCTCTCTCTCTCTCTCTCTCTCTCTCTCTCTCTCTCTCTCTCGCTCTCTCTCTCTCTTTGAGTGTCTCTCGCGGTCACCGTTCGGTCAGCAAAACAGCCCCTCGCTTAGGGATGTTCCATAATTCACACGAGTATCAATCCGACGGCAAAAAGCTAGCGACACCGCAGACCAAACGGAGAGCTCAGGCGTGAAAAAGATCAGTGCGCCCTCGTGTACTGTCTCGGGAAACGAACACGCACGCATACACAAACACTGCCCATGTCCATTTC